AATGGTGCTATCAAGCAGCACCTGATCACTGATGCCCAGTTTCGGTTCCATCAGGGCAAACTGTTTGGTGGACTCATATTTGGCACATAGGAAGATGGTTATGATTATTGGAGGTCAGTCATCTCCGCTCCAGAACATCATCTCTGCAGGAGTCCCTCAGGGTAGTGTCCTAGACCCAGCTGTCAGCTGCTCTGTCAATGACGTTCCCTCCATCAAAAAGTCAGAAGTGAGGATGTTTGCTAATTGAATGCACAATGTACAGCACCATTCACAACTCCTCCAGGTATTGTAGCAGTCAATGTTCAAATGCAACAGGATCTGCTCAGTATCCAAGCTTGGGCTAAGTATCATTCATGCCACACAAATGTCAGGCAATGACCATCTCCAGTAAGAAACAATCTAACCCTTTCCCCTTAACATTCAGTGGTATTGCCATCACTGAATCTCCTGCTGTCAAATGGTTGTGGTTGCCATTGACCAGAATCTCAACTGGACTCGCCATACAAATACAGGTAGTTCTGCTATGATGCGTGTTTTGTTAACACAAATTGGCTGTAAAGCGATTGAATAGTAGTAGATTCTGTTTGAATAACACAGACTTTCTGCTGTACAGCTATAGTGATTTTTCTATGGTGATTTTCTGTAGCGTGACGTCATACAAGAATGCAACTATCGCATTATAGAAGAAATACCTGTACGGTGGCTACAAAAGCAGGCTAAGAGTGCTGTGGTGAGTAACTCTCCTCCTGATTTCCCAGAACCTGTCTGCCATCTACAAGCCATGAGTCAGGAGTGATGGAATATGCCTGGATGAGTGCAGCTCCTACAGCACTCAAGATGTTTGACACAATCCAGGGCAAAGCAATCCTGCTTGATTGGCAATACATCCACAAGAATCCACTCCCACTACCACTTGTGCTTGGTATTAGCAGTGTGTATTACCTGCAAAATGCACTTAAGAATTTCACCGAAGTTCTTCAGAGAGCACCTTTTCAACCCATGATCATTTCAATCTAGAAGGACAAGAACAGCCATTACATGGGAACACCACCACCTGCAAATTCCTCTCCAAGCCACTCGCCATCCTGTCTTGGAAATACATCACCGGTCCTTCACCGTCACTGGATCAAAATCCTGGAATTCCCTCCCTAAGGACATTGTAGGTCTACTTCCTGCACGTGGACTGCAGCAGTTTAAGAAGGCAGCTTACCACTACTTTCTCAAGGGCAACTAGGGACGGATATTCTCTTGTGGAATGGCCAGCCAGTATTTCACGAGTTAAAATGTGGAGAAACGATGGTAGGCATCTAAAGTGGGATATCCTCGAATACTCGAGTAAATTTTCTACAAAAAATTCTGAATTCCACCATGTATGGTTAACTGAAGAAGTTGAGAGCATCAAACATAAGGAAATAAAACAATCGCACAAATGTGAGTGGCAGTTTAAATGACTGGTCAAACACAAAGAACAGAATTATTAAAAGGTTACTTGGACAAATTAAGGTGTGAAAGGAAGCCAGCTAGCAAGTGTTTCTTATGAATTTCTGAAAAGGAAAGATGTAGTAGCTGTTGGTCCTCCTGATCAGGAGTCCGTGTTGGGACCACAACTATTCACGTTATGCATTAATAATCTGGACAAAGGAACTGAGGGCATTGTTGCTAAGTTTGCAAATAGCACAAAGATAGGTGAAGGGACAAGTAGTGTTGAGGAAGTGGGTAGACTCCAGGAGGACTTGGATAGGCTAGGAGAGTAGGCAAAGAAGTGGCAGATGGAATACAGTCTGGGTAAGTGTGAGGGTATGGACTTTGGTAGGAAGAATAGGAGCATTGACTGACTTTGTTTGTTTGTTTGTTTTCTGAATGGGGGAAAACTTTTTGGAAGTCTGAAGCACAAAGGGACTTGGGAGTCCTAATTTAGAACTCCCTTAAGGTTAGCATGCAGATCAGTTGGCAGTTAGAAAGAAAAGCAAATGCAATGTTAGCATTCATTTTTGAGGGCTAGAATACAAGAGCAGGGATGTATGGCTGAGGCTGAATAAGGTTCTGGTAAGATTGCATTTAGAATACTGTGAGCAGTTTTGAAGCCTGTATCTAAGGAAGAATGTGCTGACTTTGGAGGGGGTTCAGAGGAGGCTTACAAGAATGATCCCAGGGATGAAGGGTCTGTCATGTGAGGAGCAGTTGAGAACTCTGGATCTGTATTCAATTGAGTGTAAAAGGATTGTGGTGGGGTAGGAGGATCTGATTGAAATTTTTTAGAATACTGAGAGGCCTGGATAGAGTGGACATGGAGAAGATGTTTCCATTAGTAGCCTTCTATGCAAAGGCTTTGAGTGCCTTTAAGACTGGGATAGATATGTTCTTGGTTTGTAAGGGAATCGAGAATTACAGAGTAGGTAGGAGAATGGGGTTGAGAATTATCAGCCATGATTGAATTTTGGAGCAGATTTGATGGATTGAATGGCATAATTCAGCTCCTATGCCTTTTTATGGTCAGTGGTTTTTAATCAGTGTGATATGGCATGTTGATGTGCTGCAAAACTTTGGGAAGGAAGGCCACTTTACTGAGTACCACATCTGTGCTTCTGATCTCCACCGCACATGCATGAATATTCCCATCGTTTTAGCTGAATAAAGTGGATGTGGTGTGGGATTGTTTGACTCCATCAAATGTGCCATGATGCTGGAAAGATTGGGAATCACAGCTGTGAAGGTAGTAAAGAAATGATGCAGATAATCGACAAATATTTTGCTTCTGACAGATAGCAGTACATCAGAGGATTGAAGACACAGGAACTTTTGAAATTCTGATCATCGGGGAAGTGGTACTGAGAACCGGGGGGGCTGGTGGCTGCAGGTTCATAAGTTTCTGGGTCATCTTAGGGTCTTAGCAAATGTGTCCACTGACATAGTGGATGTGTTGGTGTGAATTTTCAAACACTTCGAGTCTGGAAATGTTCCATTAGCGTGGAAAGCAGCAAATATAACCCCTCTGTTTGAGAAGGGAAAGAAGCAGAAAGTAGGAAAATATATAAGCCAGTTTGACTGTCATTTGTTATTGGAAGGTGTCAGAATCAACATAAGAAATAGGAGCAGAAGTAGGCCATCTGGCCCATCAAGCCAGTTCCACCATTCAATAGGATCGTGGCTGTTCTCTTAGTGGACTCAGCTTCACATACCCACCCACTCATAACCCATAATTCCTTTCTGTTTGCAAATCTGTCAGTCCTTTCCTTTTAAAAATTCAGCGAGGTAGCCTTAACTGCTTCACTGGGCAGGGAATTCCACAGATTCACAACCCTTTGGGTGAAGTTCTTCCTCAATTCAGTCCTAAATCTGCTGTCCCTTTATTTTGAGGCTATGACCCCAGTTCTAGCTGCTTCCTCCAGTGGAAACAGCCTCCCTGCTTCTATCTATTCTATTCCCTTCATAATTATGTTTCTGTAAGATTTCCCCCTCACTTTTTTTAAATTTCAAGGAGTATAGTCCTAATCTACTCAATTTCTCATCATAAGCCAACCCTCTCAACTCTGGAATCAAACTAGTGAACCTTCTCAGCTCCCCCTCCAGTGCCAGTACATCCTTTCTCAAGGAGACCAGAGCTGTACATGATACTCCAGGCGTGGCCTCACCAGCACCCTGTACAGTTGCAGCATAACCTCCGTTTTTAAACTCTAGCATGCCTCTAGCAATGAAGGAAAATATTTCATTTACCTTAATTACCTGCTGCACCTACAAACAAACTTTGTGATTCATGCACGAGGACACCCAGGTCCCTCTGCACAGCAGCATGCTGCAGTTGTTCACCATGTAAATAATAGTCCATTTTGCTGTTATTCCTAACAAAATGGATGACCTCACATTTACCAGCATTGTACTCCACTGCCAGACCCTTGCCCACTCACAACTTATCTATTTCCCTCTGACTTCCATGTCCTCTGAACACTTGGGTCTATCACTCATGTTAATGTCATCAGTGAACTTTGACACACTACACTTGATCCCCAACTCCAAATTGTCTATGTAAATTGTAAACAATTGCTGTCCCAACACTGATTCCTGAGACACACCACTAGCCACTGATTTCCAACCAGAAAAACACCCATTCATCTCCACTCTTTGGTTAACTAAATGGAAAGCAATCTTCTGTCCATACTAATACATTACCTGTAATACTGTGCACCTTTTATCTTATGCAGCAGCCTTTTGAGTAGCACCTTGTCAAATGCCTTCTGGAAATCCAGATAAATCACATCCATGGGTTCCCCATTGTCCATTGTGCTCGTAATGTCCTCAAATTAGTTAAATGTGACCTGCCTTTCATGAACCCATGCTGTGCCTGCCTGATGGGACAGTTTCTATCTATCTGTCTTGCTATTTCTTCCTTGATAGATTCAAGCATTTTTCCCCACTACAGAAGTTAAGCTAACGGGGCTATAGTTACCCACCTTTTGTCAACCTCCTTTTGTCAACCATAAGAGGTTGTAATATGGCACTTGGAAAGTCTCCAAGTAATCAAGAAGAGTTGGCATGGCTTTGTGAAAAGGAAATTGTGTTTAAAATGCATTGGAATTCTTTGAAGTTGTAACATATACTATTGAACTCCTTGATGTACTGTACTTAGATTTCCAGAAGGCCTTTGGAAAGGTGGTTGCAACAAATAGGAACTCATAGTCTAGAGAATTTTTCTGACCTGTGCTTTCTTTGCTCGGCTCTTGTTGATCACGGAGTAAGTTTTGTGGAGGTCAGCAAAATGGAAACATTTTAAATGTTGCTAAAAGAAACATGAAGTCGAAGCTTTTCATCGTACACTCATCAAGACCAAAATGTAAAGTCACCTCTTAAACTCAGTCTGTACAATTTTTTTTCCTCCTAAATCCTTGAGGGAAGTCACTCCACTCTTTGTTCACTCCTCCTCGCTGCTTTTATACCCTTCAGTTAGTTAGCTTGCTTGTTAAATTTTGTCTAATTTAGCAATTATTCCCTTTTGTTTTCCACAGTACTGGAAGGAGAATCAGTGGCTCGATCATTCTTTAATAAATTTCTTGGAGTCTGCTCTGATTGGATGAAAGAACCGCAGTTATCACAACTACCAAAGCAGTATTTAAAAGTTTCCAGTTATGCTATCCGTAACACACGCAGAAAGATGGAGGACAGACATGTAACACTGCCTGATTTTAACACACTCTTTGGCATTAAGGTACGTTGGTCCTATTGGCTCTTCATTGGGAATTGAATATAATTGAAGCCCAAGCTGATTAGTTGAAAGTTTCTGATTGCAGCCAGGGTGCCAAATTGAGTGACAAAGGTTTGGATTTTGTTCTTTAACTGTGAACAATCAGCATTCACCTTAATTGCTCCTTTAAGACAAATAGCAATGTCAAGATTTATTGCAGGACAGATTAATATGGAAATCCTGAAGTTAGAGGCTCACCCAGAATCGCAATTGTTGGAATACACAAGTCAGAAGCAGGAGTAGGTCACTTGGCCCCTCCATCCTGCTCAACCATTCAAATAAGATTATGGCTGGTCTGATTGTAACCTCAAATCCATATTCCCATGTACCCTTGATAACCTTTCAACTCCTCACTCAACAAGTGTCTGTCTATTCCACCTTAAAAATATTCAATGACACTGCTTGCACCACCTTTTTTTATAGGGACAGAGTTTGAAAGACAACTTCTTCGTTGGGGATGGGGGGCAAAAAATTCTAATCTTTGTTTTTAGTGAGTGACCCCAGTTTTTAAACAGTCACCCCCATGTTCTAGATTCTCCTATAAGAAACAACATTCTGTCCACATCAGTTGTCAAGACCCTTCAGAATTTTGTATGTTTCAACGAAGGCATCCCTTGCTCTTAACTCCAGTAGACACAATCCTAGCCTTGCCTCATAGGACAACCTGCATATTCCAGTTATTAGTCTAGTACGGCTTCATCAAACTGTCTCCAATGCATTTGTGTCCTTCCTTTAAATTTAAGTGACTAAAAACATGCACAATACACAAGATATGGTCTCATCATTGCTCTGACTGAATTGTGACTTCCATGCTTTTGTATTCCATTCCCATCATTATAAATTATAACATTCTATTCACTTTCCTAATTATTTGCTGTACGTACATACTAACCTTTTGCAGTTCATGACTGAGGATCCCCAGATTCCTCTGCATCTAAACTCTGCAATTGCTCAACATTGAGGTAATATGCTTTTCTTTTTCATTTTTATCTGCCAAAATGGGCAATTCAACATTTTCTACCTAATATTCCATTTGCCAATTTCTCTCCCCTCCACCCCCCCCCCCCCCACAACACTCACTTAACCTATAAATATTTTTGCAAACTTCTTCGTAGGAAACAAGTTGTGAAAGAACACCTTTTTTTCGTATAGAATTCTCAGTGCGTAAGTATGCCATTTGGCCCATCCAGTCCACACCAATCATCTGAACAGCATCTCACCCAGATCCACCCCATAACCCTGCATTTTCCATGGCTAATCTGCCTCGCATGCACATCCCTGGACACAATGGACAATTCAGCATGATCAGTCCACCAAACCTGCACATCTCTGGACTGTGGTAGGAAACCAGGATACCTGGAGGAAACCTGTGCAGACATGGAGAGAAGTGTAAACGCCACATGGACAGTCACCTGACGGTGGAATTGAGCCTGGGTCTCTGGTGCTATGAGGCAGCAGTGCTAACCACTGAGCCACCATGCCACACATAACCTTTTGTGCTGTCAGCAAATTTAGTAACCATACCTTTCACCCCCATCTCAGTCATTTATATAAATCATAACCGTTGAGGTCCAAATACTAATCCCTGTGGCAAGCCACTTGTTACATTTTTCAAACCTAAAAAGGATTCACTTACACCTACTTTCTGCTTCATGTTAGCCAACCCACCTTCTGTATATATGCTAACCCTTACGTCATCCTTACACGGCACCTTCAAACCCATGACTCCTTCCATCTAGAAGGAAAAGGTAGCAGATACATGGGAATACCACCACCTGCAAGTTCCCTTCCAAGCCACTCATCATCCCAACTCCGAAATATATTCCCGTTCCTTCACTGTCACTGGATCAAAATCCTGGAATTCCTTCCTAAGTGCATTGTCAGTCAACCTACGGCACGTGGACTGTGGTGGTTCAAGAAGGCACTCCCCATGACCTTCCCAAGGGCAACTAGTGACAAGCAACAAATGCTGGCCCAACCAGCAACGCGCATGTCACATGAGTGGATAACACCAATGTTTGCAACTGCATCTGCCTTGGCCTGTCCTTTTAAACTGATTTGCCAATTTATTTTAGTTAGCTTTGCTTCATATCTTCATAATTGCCCTTATTTATTTTTTTTAAATAGTCTCAGACCCATTCTTCGCTCTCTCTCTCGCTCTCTCTCTCGCTCTCTCTCTCGCTCTCTCT